GATGGCCCGGGGAGAGAGACGCCTGACACACAAGGGTCTACAAGGGGCACTGATGATATCCTTCTACAGGGAGGAACCTCGGTTTAACCAGCCCCACCAGCTGCTGACGCTGTTAATGGATGTTGACTCTTTAATTACTAAATGGCGGTGTAAGTGTTACATTTATATTGCTGCAGTTTAATATTTGCACCCCATACCCATCCTGTGGGTGGTAGTCACCCCATACCCATCCTGTGGGTGGTAGTCACCCCATACCCATCCTGTGGGTGGTAGTCACCCCATACCCATCCTGTGGGTGGTAGTCACCCTATATCCATCCTGTGGGTGGTAGTCACCCCATATCCATCCTGTGGGTGGTAGTCACCCCATACCCATCCTGTGGGTGGTAGTCACCCCATACCCATCCTGTGGGTGGTAGTCACCCTATATCCATCCTGTGGGTGGTAGTCACCCCATATCCATCCTGTGGGTGGTAGTCACCCCATACCCATCCTGTGGGTGGTAGTCACCCCATACCCATCCTGTGGGTGGTAGTCACCCCATACCCATCCTGTGGGTGGTAGTCACCCTATATCCATCCTGTGGGTGGTAGTCACCCCATATCCATCCTGTGGGTGGTAGTCACCCCATACCCATCCTGTGGGTGGTAGTCACCCCATACCCATCCTGTGGGTGGTAGTCACCCCATACCCATCCTGTGGGTGGTAGTCACCCTATATCCATCCTGTGGGTGGTAGTCACCCCATATCCATCCTGTGGGTGGTAGTCACCCCATACCCATCCTGTGGGTGGTAGTCACCCCATACCCATCCTGTGGGTGGTAGTTACCCCATATCCATCCTGTGGGTGATAGTCACCCCATACCCATCCTGTGGGTGATAGTCACCCCATACCCATCCTGTGGGTGGTAGTTACCCCATATCCATCCTGTGGGTGGTAGTCACCCCATATCCATCCTGTGGGCGGTAGTCACCCCATACCCATCCTGTGGGTGGTAGTCACCCCATACCCATCCTGTGGGTGGTAGTCACCCCATATCCATCCTGTGGGTGGTAGTCACCCCATACCCATCCTGTGGGTGGTAGTCACCCCATACCCATCCTGTGGGTGGTAGTCACCCCATACCCATCCTGTGGGTGGTAGTCAAAAGATTACAGAGGTACATAATGGGTCCAGGGACTGTACCTCAACATTACAGAGGTACATAATGTGTCCAGGGAATGTATCTCAACATTACAGAGGTACATAATGGGTCCAGGGAATGTACCTCAACATTACAGAGGTACATAATGGGGCCAGGGAATGTATCTCAACATTACAGAGGTACATAATGGGTCCAGGGACTGTACCTCAACATTACAGAGGTACATAATGGGTCCAGGGAATGTATCTCAACATTACAGAGGTACATAATGGGTCCAGGGACTGTACCTCAACATTACAGAGGTACATAATGGGTCCAGGGACTGTACCTCAACTTTACAGAGGTACATAATGGGTCCAGGGACTGTACCTCAACATTACAGAGGTACATAATGGGTCCAGGGACTGTACCTCAACATTACAGAAGTACATAATGGGTCCAGGGACTGTACCTCAACATTACAGAGGTACATAATGGGTCCAGGGACTGTACCTCAACATTACAGAGGTACATAATGGGTCCAGGGACTGTACCTCAACATTACAGAGGTACATAATGGCTCCAGGGACTGTACCTCAACATTACAGAGGTACATAATGGGTCCAGGGACTGTACCTCCACATTACAGAGGTACATAATGGGTCCAGGAACTGTACCTCAACATTACAGAGGTACATAATGGGTCCAGGGACTGTACCTCAACATTACAGATGTACATAATGGGTCCAGGGACTGTACGTCAACATTACAGAGGTACATAATGGGTCCAGGGACTGTACCTCAACATTACAGAGCACTCTTCACCTAGACGTAAATAGGTACCTGGGTGTTAGTCGACTGTTGTCTCGTAGCTGGGTTGGTAGCGCACTCAGCTCATACATTGAGGTCCGTGGTTCGATTTCCGGTACGGGTGAATATATTAGGACGGCGTTTCCTTAAGATACCTGCTGTCCATGTTCCCCTATCACTAAAATAGGTACTTAAGTGCTAGTGGACTGATGTGGGTCGCATCCTGGGGACAAAATTGACCTAATTTGCGGGAAATGCTCTATACACCTCAATTACTTGGAGCGCTTGAGGTTCCTAAACCTGTATTCCCTGGAATGCAGGAGGGAGAGATACATGATTATATACACCTGGAAAATCCTAGAGGGACTAGTACCGAACTTGCACACGAAAATCACTCACTACGAAAGCAAAAGACTTGGCAGACGATGCACCATCCCCCCAATGAAAAGCAGGGGTGTCACTAGCACGTTAAGATACCATACAATAAGTGTCAGGGGCCCGAGACTGTTCAACTGCCTCCCAGCATACATAAAGGGGATTACCAACAGACCCCTGGCAGTCTTCAAGCTGGCACTGGACAAGCACCTAAAGTCAGTTCCTGACCAGCCGGGCTGTGGCTCGTACGTTGGTTTGCGTGCAGCCAGCAGTAACAGCCTGGTTGATCAGGCTCTGATCCACCAGGAGGCCTGGTCACAGACCGGGCCGCGGGGGCGTTGACCCCCGGAACTCTCTCCAGGTAAACTCCAGGTAAACAACCAGGTACTTTCTATATGTCATAGGTGTGAGCTATGGTCTGTATAAGTTGTATCATGTACTGCTAGAAATAAACATTATTAATTTTATAGCAAAAGAGTGCAGACACTGTACTTCTCACCTCCAGGACTCAAGTCCTGCTAACTGCTTTCCCTGAATCATTTCATAAATGTTACACTCCAACAGCACATTGAATCCCCAAGACCACTTGGTCTTCGCTTACTCCGAGCTAAAATATTCTTTATCAACAAAATGACTCACTCCAAAATACTTTTTAATGTATTCTTAATAGTGATTTTTTCTGTTACAGATAATCACGTAATGATGGTACAGAGAATGATTGGATCACAGTTGTTTGGTACTGGCGGATCATCTGGGTACCAGTACCTGCGATCCACACTCAGGTAGGTGGATCATCAGGGTGCAGTACCTGTGACTAACACCCAGGTGCTTACTGCTAGGTGAACACTGACACCAGGTGTAAGGTGACTAACACACCCAGGTACCTACTTACTGCTAGGTGAACAGTGATAACAGGTGTAAGGTGACTAACACCCAGGTACCTACTTACTGCTAGGTGAACACTGACAGCAGGTGTAAGGTGGCTAACACCCAGGTACCTACTTACTGCTAGATGAACAGTGATAACAGGTGTAAGGTGACTAACACCCAGGTACCTACTTACTGCTAGGTGAACACTGACAGCAGGTGTAAGGTGACTAACACCCAGGTACCTACTTACTGCTAGGTGAACACTGACAGCAGGTGTAAGGTGACTAACACCCAGGTACCTACTTACTGCTAGGTGAACAGTGATAACAGGTGTAAGGTGACTAACACCCAGGTGCTTATTGCTAGGTGAACACTGACAGCAGGTGTAAGGTGACTAACACCCAGGTACCTACTTACTGCTAGGTGAACAGTGATAACAGGTGTAAGGTGACTAACACCCAGGTACCTACTTACTGCTAGGTGAACACTGACAGCAGGTGTAAGGTGACTAACACCCAGGTACCTACTTACTGCTAGGTGAACAGTGATAACAGGTGTAAGGTGACACACCCAGGTACCTACTTACTGCTAGGTGAACACTGACAGCAGGTGTAAGGTGACTAACACCAAGGTACCTACTTACTGCTAGGTGAACAGTGACAGCAGGTGTAAGGTGATACACCCAGGTACCTACTTACTGCTAGGTGAACAGTGATAACAGGTGTAAGGTGACTCACACCCAGGTACCTACTTACTGCTAGGTGAACAGTGATAACAGGTGTAAGGTGACTCACACCAAGGTACCTACTTACTGCTAGGTGAACAGTGGCAGCAGGTGTTGTTTGTACCCGTGCCGGGAATCAAACCCCAGCTCCTCCATGTATAACCTTCAGCCACTACCAACTGATCGCTGAATAATTCCACGAAAGGTCAAATTTATATCCAGATAAACACCATGGTCTTTCAGGGCGTTCATCTGGATCGAATTCCAGCTCTTGGGCCTTAAGAATGTGGCGACAGTAGTAACGGAATTATCAGTAGTAGTAGTATCAGCAGTGACAGTAGTAATTACATACTAACAGCGTTAATACTAGTGATAGTAGTAGTCGACACTGGGCAGTAATCATAGTATGGGCCAGTAGGCCTTCTGCAGTGTTCCTCCATTCTTATGTTCTTATTACACTTGAAAATGGCACAACTCACAGTAAACACGAAGGGCTGTCACTGCAGGAGGTCAACTGGCATTAGGAAATACAGGAGGCAGGTCAAGACAGCAGAGGAGGAAGGTCAGGTCAGGTCACGAGTGCCCTGAGAGGCAGGTATCTACAAAAAATACAGGAAAATGAGCACTATTAGTGTGGGTAAGTGAATAACTTTGTATAGACAGATGTACACGTAAGTACGATTATCATACGTAGTATAAATTATGTAGGATAATCCGGAAAGTAATTTATTTCCGTTTATTTGGCCACATGTAACATGTTACATTTACCAATATAATCTTTGTTGCAGTGATCGTTACAAAGTGTTCCTGGACCTGTCACTTTCACCAATATAATCTTTGTTACAGTGATCGTTACAAAGTGTTCCTGGACTTGTTCAACTTAAGCACCTTCCTGCTGCCTCGTAACTCAGTACCACCACTCACAAGACAGATGAAATGTCGTCTCAGCATCATGGACGACACAGAACAAGCCAAGGACCACAACGACCTTCCCAAAGACTCTTCCAAACTACCACCAACTGCGCCATCTTCAGCCCTCACAGCCTCACACTTCCCGTGTACTCCTGATGCTGCAGACGATAAGATCTCCTCAGACAGTGACCTGGATAAGAGTCTGGAGAACAGCATCGAAAGATCTTGTGAAGCCTCCATGTGAGGGGTAAATCCCTGTGAGAGGTAAATCCCTGTGAGAGGTAAATCCTTGTGAGAGGTAAATCCTTGTGAGAGGTAAATCCCTGTGAGAGGTAAATCCCTGTGAGAGGTAAATCCCTGTGAGAGGTAAATCCCTGTGAGAGGTAAATCCCTATGAGAGGTAAATCCCTGAGGGGTAAATCCCTGTGAGAGGTAAATCCCTGTGAGAGGTAAATCCTTGTGAGAGGTAAATCCCTGTGAGAGGTAAATCCCTGTGAGAGGTAAATCCCTGTGAGAGGTAAATCCCTGTGAGAGGTAAATCCCTGTGAGAGGTAAATCCCTGTGAGAGGTAAATCCCTGTGAGAGGTAAATCCCTGTGAGAGGTAAATCCCTATGAGAGGTAAATCCCTATGAGAGGTAAATCCCTGAGGGGTAAATCCCTGTGAGGGGTAAATCCCTGAGGGGTAAATCCCTGAGGGGTAAATCCCTGAGGGGTAAATCCCTGAGGGGTAAATCCCTGAGGGGTAAATCCCTGAGAGGTAAATCCCAGCTATATCCTGGACATTCTCCACTATAACAAATCATTTAGATATATCCAACATAAACATCGACACGACTAACTACACTGGAACTATTTTCCAGAAATATTTTCGGAATGGTACAAACGTTCTAATTTCTGTTTTAAGAGTTTTCTTAACATGCTAGAAGAGTTACTTTAAGTAGGTACATAAGTTACTACACCTTATATACACTTTTATAAGTAATCTTAAATTTATAAGTTACAGCTGATTAATTCAGACGGGACTTAACTTTGTCTACTGAACAACCATGAACAATGTCAGTAGTTATCTATATTGTTCACAATCTTAGCAGTTAGTATATGGTACAAATATATATATTAACATCTGGACTATATACATTTATTATATATAAATATATTGATACGGTTTATATATAATTAAACTAACTTTGTAAGGCCTAAATACTGTCTTAAAGTATCAAATTCTCTATGTATATATTAAATAAATATTACGTGGTGCCGAATAGGTAAAACTTTGGATTTTGGTTTAAATAGCAATGCTCTTCTTGCCGAATAAGACAAGCGAAAATTTGTGTATGCAATAATTTCGATAATTTTAGGCTTTTTTAAGTTAAAAATTAAAATTTATGGTGGTTCTGGTATGATGTCAGGGCAGGAGTATATAATGCCCAGGAATCCTGGGTATTATATACCCAGGTGCTGGAACAAAGTGGTGACAGGAGATTCCAGAACATCAGAAATAGCGTAGGATACCCTGGCTGGTGGTATTCTTGCAGTGTCCTGGAATCTTCTGCCACCACTGTTCCAGCACCTGGGTATATAATACCCAGGATTCCTGGGCATTATATACCCAGGTGCTGGAACAAAGTGGTGACAGGAGATTCCAGAACATCAGAAATATCGTAGGATACCCTGGCTGGCGGTATTCTTGCAGTGTCCTGGAATCTCCTGCCACCACTGTTCCAGCACCTGGGTATATAATACCCAGGATTCCTGGGCATTATATACCCAGGTGGTGGAACAAAGTGGTGACAGGAGATTCCAGAACATCAGAAATAGCGTAGGATACCCTAGCTGGTGGTATTCTTGCAGTGTCCTGGAATCTCCTGCCACCACTGTTCCAGCACCTGGGTATATAATACCCAGGATTCCTGGGCATTATATACCCAGGTGGTGGAACAAAGTGGTGACAGGAGATTCCAGAACATCAGAAATAGCGTAGGATACCCTAGCTGGTGGTATTCTTGCAGTGTCCTGGAATCTCCTGCCACCACTGTTCCAGCACCTGGGTATATAATACCCAGGATTCCTGGGCATTATATACTCCTGCCCTGACATCATCCCAGAACCACAACAGATATGCAAGGTGAGGGGGAGTCGTAATGTTCCACACGTCCAGTGGACAGGGATCTTACTCCACTATACTAGCATCTACCCTAGGTAACTAGGCCACCACCTGACCTGACAAATAAAACACACTGGCTATATAGAACTTAAATAATTATAACATTGAAGACTAACGATGGTATTCAAGTTCAACGTCATCACCGGGTGAAGTTTTCGCTTCACACAGTCAGGGTCCGGGTTCGATTCCCAGCCAGAGTAGAAACGTTAGGGATGTGATTCTTTACACCGGTTGTCCTTGTTCACCCATCAGTAAAATAGGTACCTGGGTGTTAGTGGACTGGTGTGGGTGGCATCCTGGGTGTTAGTGGACTGGTGTGGGTGGCATCCTGGGCGTTAGTGGACTGGTGTGGGTGCCATCCTGGGTGTTAGTGGACTGGTGTGGGTGGCATCCTGGGTGTTAGTGGACTGGTGTGGGTGCCATCCTGGGTGTTAGTGGACTGGTGTGGGTGGCATCCTGGGCGTTAGTGGACTGGTGTGGGTGCCATCCTGGGTGTTAGTGGACTGGTGTGGGTGGCATCCTGGGTGTTAGTGGACTGGTGTGGGTGGCATCCTGGGTGTTAGTGGACTGGTGTGGGTGGCATCATGGGTGTTAGTGGACTGGTGTGGGTGGCATCCTGGGTGTTAGTGGACTGGTGTGGGTGGCATCCTGGGTGTTAGTGGACTGGTGTGGGTGGCATCCTGGGTGTTAGTGGACTGGTGTGGGTGGCATCCTGGGTGTTAGTGGACTGGTGTGGGTGGCATCCTGGGTGTTAGTGGACTGGTGTGGGTGGCATCCTGGGTGTTAGTGGACTGGTGTGGGTGGCATCCTGGGTGTTAGTGGACTGGTGTGGGTGGCATCCTGGGTGTTAGTGGACTGGTGTGGGTGGCATCCTGGGTGTTAGTGGACTGGTGTGGGTGGCATCATGGGTGTTAGTGGACTGGTGTGGGTGGCATCCTGGGCGTTAGTGGACTGGTGTGGGTGGCATCATGGGTGTTAGTGGACTGGTGTGGGTGGCATCCTGTGTGTTAGTGGACTGGTGTGGGTGGCATCATGGGTGTTAGTGGACTGGTGTGGGTGGCATCCTGGGTGTTAGTGGACTGGTGTGGGTGGCATCCTGGGTGTTAGTGGACTGGTGTGGGTGGCATCCTGGGCGTTAGTGGACTGGTGTGGGTGGCATCCTGGGTGTTAGTGGACTGGTGTGGGTCACATCCTGGGTGTTAGTGGACTGGTGTGGGTGGCATCCTGGGCGTTAGTGGACTGGTGTGGGTGGCATCCTGGGTGTTAGTGGACTGGTGTGGGTGGCATCCTGGGTGTTAGTGGACTGGTGTGGGTGGCATCCTGGGTGTTAGTGGACTGGTGTGGGTGGCATCCTGGGTGTTAGTGGACTGGTGTGGGTGGCATCCTGGGTGTTAGTGGACTGGTGTGGGTGGCATCCTGGGTGTTAGTGGACTGGTGTGGGTGGCATCCTGGGTGTTAGTGGACTGGTGTGGGTGGCATCCTGGGTGTTAGTGGACTGGTGTGGGTGGCATCATGGGTGTTAGTGGACTGGTGTGGGTGGCATCCTGGGCGTTAGTGGACTGGTGTGGGTGGCATCATGGGTGTTAGTGGACTGGTGTGGGTGGCATCCTGGGTGTTAGTGGACTGGTGTGGGTGGCATCATGGGTGTTAGTGGACTGGTGTGGGTGGCATCCTGGGTGTTAGTGGACTGGTGTGGGTGGCATCCTGGGTGTTAGTGGACTGGTGTGGGTGGCATCCTGGGCGTTAGTGGACTGGTGTGGGTCACATCCTGGGTGTTAGTGGACTGGTGTGGGTGACATCCTGGGTGTTAGTGGACTGGTGTGGGTGGCATCCTGGGTGTTAGTGGACTGGTGTGGGTGGCATCCTGGGTGTTAGTGGACTGGTGTGGGTGGCATCCTGGGTGTTAGTGGACTGGTGTGGGTCACATCCTGGGTGTTAGTGGACTGGTGTGGGTCACATCCTGGTGTTAGTGGACTGGTGTGGGTGGCATCCTGGGTGTTAGTGGACTGGTGTGGGTGGCATCCTGGGTGTTAGTGGACTGGTGTGGGTCACATCCTGGGTGTTAGTCGACTGGTGTGGGTGGCATCCTGGGTGTTAGTGGACTGGTGTGGGTCACATCCTGGGTGTTAGTGGACTGGTGTGGGTCACATCCTGGGTGTTAGTGGACTGGTGTGGGTGGCATCCTGGGTGTTAGTGGACTGGTGTGGGTCACATCCTGGGTGTTAGTGGACTGGTGTGGGTCACATCCTGGTTGTTAGTGGACTGGTGTGGGTCGCATCCTGGGTGTTAGTGGACTGGTGTGGGTCACATCCTGGGTGTTAGTGGACTGGTGTGGGTCACATCCTGGGTGTTAGTGGACTGGTGTGGGTGGCATCCTGGGTGTTAGTGGACTGGTGTGGGTGGCATCCTGGGTGTTAGTGGACTGGTGTGGGTCACATCCTGGGTGTTAGTGGACTGGTGTGGGTGGCATCCTGGGTGTTAGTGGACTGGTGTGGGTCACATCCTGGGTGTTAGTGGACTGGTGTGGGTGGCATCCTGGGCGTTAGTGGACTGGTGTGGGTGGCATCCTGGGTGTTAGTGGACTGGTGTGGGTGGCATCCTGGGTGTTAGTGGACTGGTGTGGGTGGCATCCTGGGTGTTAGTGGACTGGTGTGGGTGGCATCCTGGGTGTTAGTGGACTGGTGTGGGTGGCATCCTGGGTGTTAGTGGACTGGTGTGGGTGGCATCCTGGGTGTTAGTGGACTGGTGTGGGTCGCATCCTGGGTGTTAGTGGACTGGTGTGGGTGGCATCCTGGGCGTTAGTGGACTGGTGTGGGTGGCATCCTGGGTGTTAGTGGACTGGTGTGGGTGGCATCCTGGGTGTTAGTGGACTGGTGTGGGTCACATCCTAGGTGTTAGTGGACTGGTGTGGGTCACATCCTGGGTGTTAGTGGACTGGTGTGGGTCACATCCTGGGTGTTAGTGGACTGGTGTGGGTCACATCCTGGGTGTTAGTGGACTGGTGTGGGTCACATCCTGGGTGTTAGTGGACTGGTGTGAGTCACATCCTGGGTGTTAGTGGACTGGTGTGGGTAACATCCTGGGTGTTAGTGGACTGGTGTGGGTCACATCCTGGGTGTTAGTGGACTGGTGTGGGTCACATCCTGGGTGTTAGTGGACTGGTGTGGATAACATCCTGGGTGTTAGTGGACTGGTGTGGGTCACATCCTGGGTGTTAGTGGACTGGTGTGGGTCACATCCTGGGACAAAACTGACCTAATTTGCGGGAAATGCTCAGCATAACAAGGGACTTTCTATATAGTAGTATGTCACTGATGTCAGCTATGGTCTGTATACCTTGTACATGTACTTGTATACCTTGTACATGTACACCTTGTACATGTACTGGTATACCTTGTACATGTACTGGTATACCTTGTACATGTACTGGTATACCTTGTACTCTCAGTAGTAGTAACCAGTTACCAGTAACCAGTGTACCAGTAGATGACTCACTACCAACCGTCTCTGCCTGAGTCACTGGAACCATTTATCATGTGGGAGTTCGATACGTGGATAGGGTAAAGTAATACTCACGTAGGCTGGTAGTACGTATAATTACAGATAATGTGGGGAGCGCCCAACAGCCTGCCTATCTCCTTTCTCACTCTCGTATAACTGACTGGCCGCCCACAGTACCCATATGTGAGGGGGTCTTTGAATACTGCTGTGGTCAGCACAATATGAATACAGACAGTGACTCAGGCAGAGACGGTTGGTAGTGAGTCAACTACTGGTACACTGGTAACTGGTTACTACTACTGAGAGTACATGTACTGGTATACCTTGTACATGTACTGGTATACCTTGTACATGTACTGGTATACCTTGTACTGGTATACCTTGTACATGTACTGGTATACCTTGTACATGTACTGGTATATGTAGACAGTCTGTACTGTCTGCACAGACAGCCCATGCTGTCTGCCAGCTTAGTTCATATTTCGCGCCATGCTGGTGCTGCCACCTAGAGGCCTTGCCACTTCAGTATGCCCAGACTTGCCTCTCCCTCACTCACACAGCGGCCTAGCAGGAAGACACAAGTACTAGTAGCTCTCTCTCGTGGGATGGCCCTGCCCGGGCCATGGGCACAACACAAGCCTGTGTACCCACCATGACTTAACAATAAACAAAGAAGCCTCCGAAGACGTATCATTAACCATCCGCTACCAGAATACTAAACAAACCCCTTATAATTGGTACCAGCGGTGGTCGCAGCAGTGTGTTTGCCCAAAGCGAGGAAGGAAGAGGGATGAAGTCATCTTCACTTCATCATCCCATACAAGAAGCATCCGTCTCTCAACGAGTTATCCTGATGTCGTGTCTGCACTTTTGAGCATCCAGACACAGGTACAAGCAGGATCCCAGCCGAAATTTGTCGAAATTTTTCGAGAATTGTAAGTGGCGTCACAGTGACCCCATGCTACAGCGTCCCACGCTAGCGTCCCACGCTGTTTCTCACGTCACGTGTTCAGCATCACTTGTATGTTGCTGTTGTTGTTGTTCAGCTCAGCACAGCTGTTTCAGCAAGCCAGAGGCGAGTTTTGTGGTGATTTCTGCGTCCAGTGTGAGCTTCTCCACGTGTTTGTGGGTGGGGGAGGAGAGGAGAGGAAGTGGCTGTTTCTCACCTTGCCCATGCTCGCCCTGCTCACGCTCTGTTGTGTTTTCTGCTGTTTTCCATGTGAATTCATTGCCAGAGCTGTGTATCCGAGTGCCCGAGGCCACTCGAAGCTACTTGGATCAGCATGCCACGTAGATCACGATGCCACGTGGATCGCGACGCCACGTGGGTGTGGGCAATGTGACGTAGACCTACGAGCTACGTGAGTTACCAGATGTCCCAGGCCACATGCTGTGGTCTGCTGCCCGCATCACATTGACGTCACCCACAATGCTGCCCGACTTCATGACGTCATGATGTCTGCCTGATGTCACCTCAAGATGTCTGCTGACGTCACCTCGAGATGTCTGCTGACATCACCTCGAGATGTCTGCTGACGTCACCTCGAGATGTCTGCCTGACGTCACCTTGAGATGTCTGCTGACGTCACCTCGAGATGTCTGCCTGACGTCACCTCGAGATGTCTGCTGACGTCACCTCGAGATGTCTGCTGACGTCATCACGCCTGACATCACATGATGTCACATCGAGTGTTTCTAGTAATTATTTTAGTATTGTCGAGAAGATTGAGAGAAAATATATGTCGTGTGTTAATTAATTCCTCTCAGTCAGTGTTCTCACATTTTAGTACATGTCTTAGTGTCAGTTTTATGCACAGAAAAGCATCATTTGCTAGTTTAAGCCATGTTAGTGTACCGCAGGTGTGTAAAGTTTCCGTGTCCAGTGAGGTCTGAGCCAGACCTGAGTAGCACCACTGTGTTAAGTCACCCGTGTGACCAGTGTGTTTGACAGCTGATTACTCAGCCCTGAGCGTATGAGCCCTCTTGTACAGAAAGCTTTTATGCTCGTCGCTCGTGTTGTTCTGCAGAATCGTACCTGCTACGATTCCCATCGAGATTTGTTTCACTTCACCTCCAGACCATCAGAGTGCAGTTATATGTAGAGAAACAAGTCTGGGGATGCTTAGACTAACCTCTGCTATAACTCCAACTGTCGAGAGATGATACTCGTCAAGCCGCAGCCAGCCCTGTCGGCAGGCGCTGTGTCAGCCTCGTGTCACAAGCTTCAGTGAGCAGCCTGCACAAAGATGATGTCACTTTGACTGCTAGCTCTCTAACTGCAGTCTGGTGTATGATGTTACGACTCCCAGATGTTTCGCCCAGTCGTCTCTGCCACGACTCGCTCCACAACTCGCTCCACGCTCGCCGGCAATGACAGCCCAGTGACAGTACCAGTCGAGAAGTGTCCTCCTGAGTCGCTTGCCAGAAGTCCTGCCCAGTTGCCGAGTTTTGTCGACACCTCACTCGAGGGCACCAGCATGTTGTGCCCCAGGTTGAGTGAAACCTGCAGCGACTCCTACGATGACTGCTTCACCATTCCAGAGGAGACCGTAACCTGTTATGTCACAGCTCAGCCGCAGCGATGTCTCCCGTGTTGCAGTCTGTCCAGACACAGAAAGGCGTGCAGTGATGCCCTTCGACGCTCACTGCCTATGACCACGATGTTTAGCACACCCCACATGTTTTTTTCTTCCCTCCCTGTAGGAAGTTTTTTTTTCCATGTCCATATGTATATATATGTTTTTATTTTGTGTTCTGTGCCCTGTTCCTACGAGAGAGAGACCGAGTTTCTTTTACTACCAGTATTGTCGCGTCGGGACGACGCGCGGTAGGTGGCCGAGCGTATGTAGACAGCCTGTACTGTCTGCACAGACAGCCCCTGCTGTCTGCCAGCTTAGTTCATATTTCACGCCATGCTGGTGCTGCCACCTATAGGCCTTGCCACTTCAGTATGCCCAGACTTGCCTCTCCCTCACTCACACAGCGGCCTAGCAGGAAGACACAAGGCCTCCCAGCTCTCTCTCGTGGGCATAGCCCTCCCGGGCCATGGGCACAACACAAGCCTGTGTACCCACCACGACATTAATAATAAAGTAAGAAGCCTTCGAAGACGTATCATTTAACTACCCGCTTACAGCCTACCAAACAAACCCCTTATATATACCTTGTACATGTACTTGTAGACCTTGTACATGTACTTGTATACCTTGTATATGTACTTGTATACCTTGTACATGTACTTGTATACCTTGTACATGTACTTGTATACCTTGTACATGTACTTGTATACCTTGTACATGTACTTGTATACCTTGTACATGTACTGGTATACCTTGTACATGTACTGGTATACCTTGTACATGTACTTGTATACCTTGTACATGTACTGGTATACCTTGTACATGTACTAGTATACAAGTACATGTACAAGGTATACCAGAAAAATCAGAAAATCAACAGAAATACTGGTGGTAAATCAGCTTACCAGGAGACGGCTGGAGGTGAAGTAACTCTCCAGACTCCAACCTTCACCAACCACCAGGTGAGACTGGAAGTAGTGACTCTTCAGACTCCAACCCTCACCAACCACCAGGTGAAGTTAATACTACCAAGACTACAGATCAGACCCCAGGAAGTGAAGTTTGCCCTCAGCCCACTAGATGGTAGTTCTGGTAGTAACAAGCTAATGGGTCCTGGGTGTCTGAACCACCACAACATCCCACTTAATACCCACTTTTCCCTCGCACTTGGATTAGGCTAAATTAAATTATGCTTGTTATAATAAGGTCAGGAAAGTTTTCTAAGGTTCTTATGGTAGAAGATTATTAATTTTTATATTAACATAAATGAAAAAAATATATCTTTAAACGTATAAGAGAAAATTTAAAAAAGGACTTAATTTTAAATGAGTTCCTGATAATTGACCATTTTTACCTATTCGGTACGACACACACACACACACACACACACACACACACACACACACACACATATATATATATATATATATATATATATATATATATATATATATATATATATATATATATATATATATATATATATATATATATCCTGGTTTATACAGTTGCTGATGGTTTGTCAGAAATATGCCGTTCCACCACATCCCAAAAGTTTATATCAAGTTCTGGTTCTCCATCAACATGTATCAGAAAGTATGCTCTATCAGACCATGCGATATTTTCCAATCATTTATTGTCTAATTTTGGTGAGCCAGTTCCCACTGTAGACTCAATTTCCTGTTCTTAGCTGACAGTAGTGGAACCCAGTGTGGTCTGCTGCTGCTGTAGCCCATCCACTTCATGGTGTGATGTGTTGTGCATTCAGAAATGCTCTTTTGCATACCACTGTTTTAACTTGTGGCTGAGTTACTGTCGTCTTCACGTCAGCTTGCATCAGTCTGGTCATTCTCTCTTCTCTCTCATTATCCAGACTTCTCCATCGCCAGAACTGCCACCTGCTGGATATTTTGTTTTTCCACACCACTCTCTAAACTCCCACAGACTGCTGTGTGTGAAAACCCCGAGAGAGATCAGCAGTTTCTGAGACACTCAAACCACCTCGTCTGTCTGACACCAGTAATCATTCCACATCCACTTAGCGAACATATCTTCCCCATTCCCATGTTCAGTCTGAACAAAAACTGAATTTATTGACCTTCTCTGCATCAATATAGGCATTGACCTGATACCACATTATTGAATTAGATATTTGCATTAACGATCAGCTGTATCTAATGTATATATTATACATACACACATACACGTGTGTATGTATACACACCTCAATGGCTATCTTATGACAAGGCAGGAGACCTAAAAGATGGTAATACAATCACCATCACTCAGTAGTTGTCTTGCTACACATAGTGACCCACCACTGTACCAACCTCATTAGCGCCTGGGGGGGGGATGTGGAAGGTATTCAGGCTTAATTCAGGGAACTGGAGCCCAGATCCAGTTACCTAGATCAAGAGCCCCTGACCATCATCAAGGAACCTTCCTTGAGGGGTGTACCAGCCTCACCTCTCCTTCAGAGTACATGTACTCTACCTCGTCTCCAGGACTCGAGTCCTACCAACATTTTCCCCTCTCCAATATAAAAGTTTCTGATATCATTAAATCCAAATTTTAGGCTCTAATTATACTTTTAAAATCCTGTGTTGTCATTTCTCCCCAATAAATAAATATTCTCAGAATATTTAGAGCATTTCCAGACTCCTTGAGACAATTAACGGACATTGGGATTAAGAATAATATTACATCCTAAAACCTACACTTGGAACATTGATATCCTCCCCGAGGTAGGATGTGTGCATCCTACAGGTGTTGTGGTCATACAACACTTGTAGAGGGTTGTAAAGCACCTTTAGAGGTCATACAACATGTGTAGGTGGCCATACAACACCTGTAGGTGGCCATACAACACCTGTAGGTGGCCATACAACACCTGTAGGTGGTCATACAGCACCTGTTTGGGTCATACAACACATGTAGGTGTCATACAATACCTGTAGGTGGGCCCTACAACAACCCGTAGGTGGTCATACAGCACCTGTAGGTGGTCATACAGCACCTGTTTGGGTCATACAACACATGTAGGTGTCATACAATACCTGTAGGTGGCCATACAACACCTGTAGGTGGTCATACAGCACCTGTAGGTGGTCATACAGCACCTGTAGGTGGTCATACAGCACCTGTTTGGGTCATACAACACATGTAGGTGTCATACAATACCTGTAGGTGGCCATACAACACCTGTAGGTGGTCATACAGCACCTGTATGGGTCATACAACACATGTAGGTGTCATACAACACCTGTATCAACACCTGTAGGTCACACCAGGTTACAATAAAATTATATCAATATTTAGTGTTATAAATATAGCGGGTGTTAACATTATACAGTGACCTCTTCTGTATATCTGGAGGATATGTGTATATGGAGAATGTACATTTACCTGATACTTTCATCGCATAGGTGTGGAAGACTGGTATTTCCCATGATACTTATCATCCCCTAGTGTGTGTGGAAGACTGGTACAGTGTTACCTTTATACTTTACATCCAAACTTAAGTGTGTGTGGAGATTTGGTAAAAGTGTTCCCTTGATACTTATCATTCCACCCATTTGTTGGAAGACTGGTACGTTTTACCTTGAACTTATCATCCCCCATGTGTGTGGGACGGTCCCAGTGTTCCTTGATCACTTATTTACCAGTGGTTAAGCCCATTTTTTAAGGGCCTCTTTACAGTGCTTCACTTTACAGTGTTTCCCACTTTTGCCTTCACTTTACAGCTTCACTTTACACCCTCACTTTACAGTATTTCACTTTATAGTGCTTCACTGTACAGTGCTTCACTTTACAGTGCTTCACTTTACAGTGCTTCACTTTACAGTGCTTCACTTTACAGCACTTCACTTTACAGCACTTCACTTTACAGCACTTCACTTTACAGCACTTCACTTTACAGTGCTTCACTGTACAGTGCTTCACTTTACAGCACTTCACTTTACAGTGCTTCACTGTACAGTGCTTCACTTTACAGTGCTTTACTTTACAGTGCTTCACTTTACAGTGCTTCACTTTACAGCACTTCACTTTACAGCACTTCACTTTACAGCACTTCACTTTACAGCACTTCACTTTACAGTGCTTCACTGTACAGTGCTTCACTTTACAGTGCTTTACTTTACAGTGCTTCACTTTAGTGCTTCACTTACAGCACTTCACTTTACAGATTTTCACTTACATGCTTTACTTACAGTGCTTCACTTTACAGCACTTCACTTTACAGTGCTTCACTTTACAGTGTTCACTTTACAGCACTTCACTTTACAGTGCTTCATTTTACAGCATTTCACTTTACGGGTGCTTCACTTTACAGCACTTCACTTACAGTGCTTCACTTTACAGTGCTTCACTTTACAGTGCTTCATTTTACGCATTTCACTTTCAGTGCTTCACTTTACAGTGCTTCACTGTACAGTGCTTCACTTTACAGCACTTCACTTTACAGTGCTTCATTTTTACAGGCTTCACTGTACAGTGCTTCACTTTAACAGTGTTTTCACTTTACAGTGCTTCACTTTACAGCACTTCACTTTAACAGTGCTTCACTTTACAGTGCTTCACTTTACCAGTGCTTCACTTTACAGTGCTCACTTTACAGCACTTCACTTTACAGTGCTTACTTTAACAGTGCTTCACTTTAGTGCTTCACTTTACAGCCTTCACTTTACAGTGCTTCACTTTACAGTGCCTTCACTGTACAGTGCTTCACTTTACAGCATTTTCACTTTACAGTGCTTCACTTTACAGTGCTTCACTTTACAGCACTTCACTTTACAGTGCTTCACTTTACAGTGCTTCACTGTACAGTGCTTCCTTTACAGCACTTCACTTTACAGTGCTTCACTTTACAGTGCTTCACTTTACAGTGCTTCACTTTACAGTGCTTCACTTTACAGCACTTCACTTTAAAAGTGCTTCACTTTACAGTCCCTTCACTTTACAGTGCTTCACTTTACAGTGCTTCATTTTTACAGTGCTTCACTTTAGAGCACTTCACTTTACAGTGCTTCACTTTACAGTGCTTCACTTTACAGTGCTTCACTTTACAGTGCTTCACTTTACAGCACTTCACTTTACAGTGCTTCACTTTACAGCACTCCCATTCAGTGCTTCACTTTACAGTGTTTTCACTTTACAGTGCTTCTACTTTACAGCACTTCATTTTACAGTGCTTCACTTTACGTGCTTTCACTTTACAGCGCTTCACTTTACAGTGCTTCACTTTACAGCACTTCACTTTACAGTGCTTCACTTTACAGTGCTTCACTTTACAGTGCTTCACTTTACAGCGCTTCACTTTACAGTGCTCACTTACAGCGCTTCCTTTACAGCACTTCACTTTACAGTGCTTCACTTTACAGCACTTCACTTAAGTGCTTCCTTTACAGTGCTTCACTTTACAGTGCTTCACTTTACAGTGCTTCACTTTTACAGCGCTCACTTTAAGTGCTTCACTTTACAGCACTTCACTTTACAGTGCTTCACTTTACAGTGCTTCACTTTACAGTGCTTCACTTTACAGTGCTTCACTTTACAGTGCTTAAACTTTACAGTGCTTCACTTTACAGTGCTTCACTGTAACAGCTGCTTCACTTTACAGCACTTCACTTTACAGTGCTTCACTTTACAGTCCCTTCATTTTTACAGGGGTTTCACTTTACAGTGTTTCACTTTACAGTGCTTCACTTTACAGCACTTCACTTTACAGCACTTCACTTTACAGTGCTTCACTTTACAGTGCTTCACTTTACAGCACTTCACTTTACAGCACTTTACTTTACAGTGCTTCACTTTACAGTGCTTCACTTTACAGCACTTCACTTTACAGCACTTACTTTAAGATGCTTCACTTTACAGTGTTTTCACTTTACAGCACTTCACTTTACAGCACTTCACTTTACAGCACTTTACTTTACAGTGCTTCACTTTACAGCACTTCACTTTACAGCACTTCACTTTACAGTGCTTCACTTTACAGTGCTTCACTTTACAGCACTTCACTTTACAGCACTTCACTTTACAGTGCTTCACTTTACAGTGCTTCACTTTACAGTGCTTCACTTTACAGCACTTCACTTTACAGCATTCCTTTCGGCTTCACTTTACAGTGCTTCACTTTACAGTGCTTCACTTTACAGCACTTCACTTTACAGCACTTCACTTTACAGCACTTCACTTTACAGCACTTCACTTTACAGTGCTTCACTGTACAGTGCTTCACTTTACAGCACTTCACTTTACAGTGCTTCACTGTACAGTGCTTCACTTTACAGTGCTTTACTTTACAGTGCTTCACTTTACAGTGCTTCACTTTACAGCACTTCACTTTACAGCACTTCACTTTACAGCACTTCACTTTACAGCACTTCACTTTACAGTGCTTCACTGTACAGTGCTTCACTTTACAGTGCTTTACTTTACAGTGCTTCACTTTAGTGCTTCACTTTACAGCACTTCACTTTACAGCACTTCACTTTACAGTGCTTTACTTTACAGTGCTTCACTTTACAGCACTTCACTTTACAGTGCTTCACTGTACAGTGCTTCACTTTACAGCACTTCACTTTACAGTGCTTCACTTTACAGCATTTCACTTTACAGTGCTTCACTTTACAGCACTTCACTTTACAGTGCTTCACTTTACAGTGCTTCACTTTACAGTGCTTCACTTTACAGCACTTCACTTTACAGTGCTTCACTTTACAGTGCTTCACTGTACAGTGCTTCACTTTACAGCACTTCACTTTACAGTGCTTCACTTTACAGTGCTTCACTGTACAGTGCTTCACTTTACAGTGCTTCACTTTACAGTGCTTCACTTTACAGCACTTCACTTTACAGTGCTTCACTTTACAGTGCTTCACTTTACAGTGCTTCACTTTACAGTGCTTCACTTTACAGCACTTCACTTTACAGTGCTTCACTTTACAGTGCTTCACTGTAGTGCTTCACTTTACAGCACTTCACTTTACAGTGCTTACTTTACAGTGCTTCACTTACAGGGGCTTCACTTTACAGCATTTTCACTTTACAGTGCTTCACTTTACAGTGCTTCACTTTACAGCACTTCACTTTACAGTGCTTCACTTTACAGTGCTTCACTGTACAGTGCTTCACTTTACAGCACTTCACTTTACAGTGCTTCACTTTACAGTGCTTCACTTTACAGTGCTTCACTTTACAGTGCTTCACTTTAACAGCACTTCACTTTACAGTGCTTCACTTTACAGGCTTCACTTTACAGTGCTTCACTTTACAGTGCTTCATTTTACAGTGCTTCACTTTAGAGCACTTCACTTTACAGTGCTTCCTTTACAGTGCTTCACTTTACGTGCCAGTTACAGTGTTCACTTTCAGCATTTTCATTACAGTGCTTCACTTACAGCACTTCACTTTACAGTGCTTCACTTTACAGTGCTTCACTTTACAGTGCTTCACTTTACAGCCTTCACTTTACAGTGCTTCACTTTACAGTGCTTCATTTTACAGCGCTTCACTTTACAGTGCTTCCCCTTTACAGCACTTCACTTTACAGTGCTTCATTTTACAGTGTTTTCATTTTTACAGTGCTTCACTTTACAGCGCTTCACTTTTACAGTGTTTCACTTACAGCGCTTCACTTTACAGCACTTCACTTTACAGTGCTTCACTTTACAGCACTTCACTTTACGTGCTCACTTTACAGTGCTTCACTTTACAGTGCTTCACTTTACAGTGGCTTCACTTTACAGCGCTTCACTTTACATGCCACTTACAGCACTTCACTTTACAGTGCCACTTTAACAGTGCTCACTTAACAGTGCTTCACTTACATGCTCCTTTACAGTGCTTCACTTTACAGTGCTTCACTTTAACAGGGCTTCACTTACGTGCTTCATTTTACAGCACTTCACTTTACAGTGCTTCACTTTACAGTGCTTCACTTTACAGTGGTTCACTTTACAGTGTTTCACTTTACAGTGCTTCACTTTACAGCACTTCACTTTACAGCACTTCACTTTACAGTGCTTCACTTTACAGTGCTTCACTTTACAGCACTTCACTTTACAGCACTTTACTTTACAGTGCTTCACTTTACAGTGCTTCACTTTACAGCACTTCACTTTACAGCACTTCACTTTACAGTGCTTCACTTTACAGTGCTTCACTTTACAGCGCTTCACTTTACAGTGCTTCACTTTACAGCACTTCACTTTACAGTGCTTCACTTTACAGTGCTTCACTTTACAGTGCTTCACTTTACAGCACTTCACTTTACAGCACTTCACTTTACAGTGCTTCACTTTACAGTGCTTCACTTTACAGTGCTTCACTTTACAGTGCTTCACTTTACAGCACTTCACTTTACAGCACTTCACTTTACAGTGCTTCACTTTACAGTGCTTCACTTTACAGTGCTTCACTTTACAGCACTTCACTTTACAGCACTTCACTTTACAGCACTTCACTTTACAGCACTTTACTTTACAGTGCTTCACTTTACAGTGCTTCACTTTACAGTGCTTCACTTTACAGCACTTCACTTTACAGCACTTCACTTTACAGCACTTCACTTTACAGCACTTTACTTTACAGCACTTCACTTTACAGTGCTTCACTTTACAGTGCTTCACTTTACAGCACTTCACTTTACAGCACTTCACTTTACAGCACTTCACTTTACAGCACTTTACTTTACAGTGCTTCACTTTACAGCACTTCACTTTACAGCACTTCACTTTATAGCACTTCACTTTACAGCACTTTACTTTACAGTGCTTCACTTTACAGCACTTCACTTTACAGCACTCACTTTACAGTGTTTTCACTTTACAGCACTTCACTTTACAGCACTTTACTTTACATTTGCTTAAACTTTACAGCACTTCACTTTACAGTGCTTCACTTTACAGCGCTTCATTTTTACAGCACTTCATTTTACAGCACTTCACTTTACAGTGCTTCACTTTACAGTGCTTCACTTTACAGCGCTTCACTTTACAGTGCTTCACTTTACAGCGCTTCACTTTACAGCACTTCACTTACAGTGCTTCATTTACAGCGCTTCACTTTACAGTGCTTCACTTTACAGCGCTTCACTTTACAGCACTTCACTTTACAGCACTTCACTTTACAGTGCTTCACTTTACAGTGCTTCACTTTACAGCGCTTCACTTTACAGTGCTTCACTTTACAGTGCTTCACTTTACAGCACTTCACTTTACAGTGCTTCACTTTTACAGCGCTTCACTTTACGGGTGCTTCACTTTACAGCGCTTCACTTTACAGCACTTCACTTTACAGCACTTCATTTTTACAGTGCTTCACTTTACATGCTTCACTTTACAGCGCTTCACTTTACAGTGCTTCACTTTACAGTGCTTCACTTTACAGTGCTTCACTTTACAGCGCTTCACTTTACAGTGCTTCACTTTACAGTGCTTCACTTTACAGTGCTTCACTTTACAGCGCTTCACTTTACAGCGCTTCACTTTACAGTGCTTCACTTTACAGTGCTTCACTTTACAGTGCTTCACTTTACAGCACTTCACTTTACAGCACTTCACTTTACAGTGCTTCACTTTACAGCGCTTCACTTTACAGTGCTTCACTTTACAGTGCTTCACTTTACAGCACTTCACTTTACAGCACTTCACTTTACAGCACTTCACTTTACAGTGCTTCACTTTACAGTGCTTCACTTTACGTCGTTTCGCTAATACAGCGGTGACAGTTACAATAATTCTTCATATCTTCAAACCTCCTACAGTAAATATACTTATTACTCACTATAAGCTAAGGGCGAAAATATGTTAAGTAATGTGTGTACTGTATATGTGTTTTTTAGGCCTAGTTTTATTGGTCACCTTAATATATGATAGTGTAAACTCGGCTTTTATTTGCATTTGAAAGTGAGAAATGCTATGGTTCACTTTACTGCAGTAGGCTGGAACTTAACCTGTTATAATCAGGGTCTTCCTGTGTTTAATGTTAAGTTATTCTTGGAGTTGGAGAGTTGTGCAGGAGTAGACTTAGGGATCACCTTCTCTGCCAGGCAATCTTGTAATGGCTTGATAAAGCTCCTGGAGAGCGAAACGTTGCCACAATAAAATGTCACATTAGTTGCACTTGTGTCCTTTTACTTTACATATTGTTGGTAATTCTACCAACTTTATTACAATCTGTCGGACACCGCAACATAATGGACATTTCATGCAGACGTTATTTGGACACCCTTCTTCGTGCTCACAGCTATTGCAACAAACACAACTTCCTACAAGATTGCCTGGCAGAGAAGGTAAGATAAGATAAGATAAGATAAGATTTCGTTCGGATTTTTAACCCCGGAGGGTTAGCCACCCAGGATAACCCAAGAAAGTCAGTGCGTCATCGAGGACTGTCTAACTTATTTCCATTGTGGTCCTTAATCTTGTCCCCCAGGATGCCACCCACACCAGTCGACTAACACCCAGGATGCCACCCACACCAGTCGACTAACACCCAGGTACCTATTTACTGCTAGGTGAACAGGACAATAGGTGTAAGGAAACGTGTCGAAATGTTTCCACCCGCCGGGAATCGAACCCGGGCCCTCCGTGTGTGAAGCGGGAGCTTTAGCCACCAGGCCACCGGGCCATAAGTCTACTCCTGCACAACTCTCCAACTCCAAGCACCCCTTCTCTCCAGCTACCCAAGCTTACTAGGTTATTCTTGCTTTAGATCAACTGCCTTCTTGTATAGTCTGTCCATCTGGGCAGCAGACTGACCTAAGGTCTCTGGCATGGTACGGTGCAGGAGTATGGCACTGATGAAGGTCGCCACAGCATAACCCAGGAAGGTGTTATGGGCACCCAAGGTAGACATTGACCATGCAAAACTTTTGGTAACCAAGAAAGCTGATGCCCAGTTGATGGCCACCACCACAGCCACGGCTTTACCTCTGACTAGGCTGGGTATTCCTTCCACCATGAACACCCATGGTATAGGGCCCCAGCCTAGCGAAAATCCAATCATGTAGGCTAACAAGGCTATTATCGGCACCACGTAAAGGGTTTTAGCAACAGTAGTTATGTGGCCACCTGCTTCTTGTGCCCAGAAAAAGAGTGACAATGTGAGGAGAGAAACCACAAGGACCGCCGTCGAAGCCTTAAGAAGGGACCGTCGCTTAAATTTTATAATGGCAAATATTCCTACGAAAGTGCCCAGGAAGTTGACAATACCCAACAACACAGACGAGGAGGAGCTGTCAGTGCCCTCCCCGCCAGCGTCAAGGATACTGGAGGCGAAGAACACCACTGCATTTATTCCAGTAGCTTGTTGGGCCACCATCAGACCAGCGGCTACACTCACTGGCCACAAGTTAGGTCTTTGTATAATCTCCCACAAAGTTACACTTGTGTTACTGTTGCTGCTTAAGCTGCTGATCTCTCGCTGCTCCTTCTCAGCTTCCTGTGTTGAGCTCCGCAGCTGCTTTAAAGCACACAATGACTTCTCTGCCTTCCCTGTTGATAAAGAAAATTAAGAATACTTTTAAGACTTTTACGAATCTAATGTTATATATTGGTGTGGAAACTCTGCAGAAAATTATTAAAATGAGACCAACCTATAGAAATTTAGTTTTAGGCTTAAAAGAACACTGTCAAGCAAAAAAATAGGCCTCACCTTATTGAAAAAAAATACCTCATGTAATATACCCAACCTTAATTGTCTGGAACAGCAAATGGAAATTGTACTCACCTAATTGTGGTTGCAGGGGTCAAGACTCAGCTCCTGGCCCCACCTCTTCACTGATCGCTACTAGATCCTCTCTCTCTCTCTCTCTCTCTGCTCCATGAGCTTTGTCATACCTCGTCTTAAAACTATGTATGGTTCCTGCCTCCACTACATCACTTGCCAGACTATTCCACTTACTGACGACTCTGTGGCTGAAGAAATACTCCCTAACATCCCTCTGACTCATCTGAGTCTTCAGCTTCCAACTGTGACCTTTTGTTTCTGTGTCCAATCTCTGGAACATCCTGTCTCTGTCCACCTTGTCCATTCCACGCATTATTTTGTATGTCGTTATCATATCTCCCCTGACCCTCCTGTCCTCCAGTGTCGTCAGGTCGATTTCCCTTAACCTTTCTTCGTAGGTGAATCCCCGTAGCTCTGGAACTAACCTTGTAGCAAACCTTTGCACTTTCTCTAATTTCTTGACGTGCTTGACCAAGTGTGGGTTCCAAACAGGTGCTGCATACTCCAGTATGGGCCTAAAATACACGGTGTACAGTGTCTTGAACGATTCCTTACTAAGGTATCGGAACGCTATTCTCAGGTTTGCCAGGCGTCCATATGCTGTAGCAGTTATCTGGTTAATGTGTGCCTCCGGAGACATGTTCGGTGTTATGGTCACCTCAAGATCTTTCTCCTTGAGTGAGATTTGCAGCCTTTGTCCACCTAGCCTATACTCTATCTACGGTCTTCTTTTCCCTTCCCCAATCTTCATGACTTTTCATTTGGTAGGGTTGAAATCGAGAAGCCAGTTGCTAGACCACATGTCCAGCCTATCCAGTTCTCTTTATAGTCCTGCCTGATCCAAAACATACTGGATTACATAATCCAGTTTGCCACTTACCTGCATGTGTAGGATGGTAGGATGTGTCTGGGAAACAGAGTACAATAAGCAGCATCTCAGGGAAAGTATTACGTACCAATACGTGTGAGGAAGAAGGGTGTCTCAGGAAGAGGATAGATTAGAGGCAGTACAGGAAAGCAGAGTGCCGCACCTAGCCATGCTAGGCCTCTCCATGAGAGGTACTGGCCAGCAGCGAAGCTCACCAGAAGACCTGCAACACATGACAGAGTTAAGCAATATTTTCAGTAGAACAGTTCATTAGCATACGGGGAATTGTTATGTTATGACCTGGAAGACCCAGAGAGTTGCAAGAGTCGTGGTGGTCCAACCTGTAAGTCTGACAGCACAGTAGTCCTGTAAGTAGACTACTTTTGTAAGTAGAGTAGTCTTGTAACTAGTGTAGTCTTGTAACTAGTGTAGTCTTGTAAGTAGTGTAGTCTTGTAAGTAGTGTAGTCCTGTAACTAGTGTAGTCTTGTAACTAGTGTAGTCTTGTAACTAGTGTAGTCTTGTAACTAGTGTAGTCTTGTAACTAGTGTAGTCTTGTAACTAGTGTAGTCTTGTAAGTAGTGTAGTCTTGTAACTAGTGTAGTCTTGTAAGTAGTGTAGTCTTGTAACTAGTGTAGTCTTGTAACTAGTGTAGTCTTGTAACTAGTGTAGTCTTGTAACTAGTGTAGTCTTGTAAGTAGTGTAGTCCTGTAACTAGTGTAGTCTTGTAACTAGTGTAGTCTTGTAACTAGTGTAGTCTTGTAACTAGTGTAGTCTTGTAACTAGTGTAGTCTTGAAAACTAGTGTAGTCTTGTAAAGTAGTGTAGTCTTGTAATAGTGTAGTCTTGTAAGTAGTGTAGTCTTGTAACTAGTGTAGTCTTGTAACTAGTGTAGTCTTGTAACTAGTGTAGTCTTGTAACTAGTGTAGTCTTGTAAGTAGTGTAGTCTTGTAACTAGTGTAGTCTTGTAACTAGTGTAGTCTTGTAAGTAGTGTAGTCTTGTAACTAGTGTAGTCTTGTAACTAGTGTAGTCTTGTAACTAGTGTAGTCTTGTAACTAGTGTAGTCTTGTAACTAGTGTAGTCTTGTAAGTAGTGTAGTCTTGTAACTAGTGTAGTCTTGTAAGTAGTGTAGTCTTGTAACTAGTGTAGTCTTGTAAGTAGTGTAGTCTTGTAACTAGTGTAGTCTTGTAACTAGTGTAGTCTTGTAACTAGTGTAGTCCTGTAACTAGTGTAGTCTTGTAACTAGTGTAGTCTTGTAAGTAGTGTAGTCTTGTAAGTAGTGTAGTCTTGTAACTAGTGTAGTCTTGTAAGTAGTGTAGTCCTGTAACTAGTGTAGTCTTGTAACTAGTGTAGTCTTGTAACTAGTGTAGTCTTGTAACTAGTGTAGTCTTGTAACTAGTGTAGTCTTGTAACTAGTGTAGTCTTGTAACTAGTGTAGTCCTGTAACTAGTGTAGTCTTGTAAGTAGTGTAGTCCTGTAACTAGTGTAGTCTTGTAACTAGTGTAGTCCTGTAACTAGTGTAGTCTTGTAAGTAGTGTAGTCTTGTAAGTAGTGTAGTCCTGTAACTAGTGTAGTCTTGTAACTAGTGTAGTCCTGTAAGTAGTGTAGTCTTGTAACTAGTGTAGTCCTGTAACTAGTGTAGTCCTGTAACTAGTGTAATCTTGTAAGTAGTGTAGTCTTGTAAGTAGTGTAGTCCTGTAACTAGTGTAGTCTTGTAACTAGTGTAGTCCTGTAAGTAGTGTAGTCTTGTAACTAGTGTAGTCCTGTAACTAGTGTAGTCTTGTAACTAGTGTAGTCTTGTAACTAGTGTAGTCTTGTAACTAGTGTAGTCTTGTAACTAGTGTAGTCCTGTAACTAGTGTAGTCTTGTAATTTAGTGTAGTCCTGTAACTAGTGTAGTCTTGTAACTAGTGTAGTCCTGTAACTAGTGTAGTCCTGTAACTAGTGTAGTCTTGTAACTAGTGTAGCCCTGTAACTAGTGTAGTCTTGTAACTAGTGTAGTCCTGTAAGTAGTGTAGTCTTGTAACTAGTGTAGTCTTGTAACTAGTGTAGTCTTGTAAGTAGAGTAGTCTTGTAAGTAGTGTAGTCTTGTAACTAGTGTAGTCTTGTAACTAGTGTAGTCTTGTAACTAGTGTAGTCTTGTAAGTAGAGTAGTCTTGTAACTAGTGTAGTCTTGTAACTAGTGTAGTCTTGTAACTAGTGTAGTCTTGTAACTAGTGTAGTCTTGTAAGTAGTCTTGTAACTAGTGTAGTCTTGTAACTAGTGTAGTCTTGTAACTAGTGTAGTCCTGTAACTAGTGTAGTCTTGTAAGTAGAGTAGTCTTGTAACTAGTGTAGTCTTGTAACTAGTGTAGTCTTGTAAGTAGTCTTGTAACTAGTGTAGTCTTGTAACTAGTGTAGTCTTGTAACTAGTGTAGTCTTGTAACTAGTGTAGTCTTGTAACTAGTGTAGTCTTGTAAGTAGAGTAGTCTTGTAACTAGTGTAGTCTTGTAACTAGTGTAGTCTTGTAACTAGTGTAGTCTTGTAACTAATGTAGTCTTGTAACTAGTGTAGTCTTGTAAGTAGTCTTGTAACTAGTGTAGTCTTGTAACTAGTGTAGTCTTGTAACTAGTGTAGTCTTGTAAGTAGTGTAGTCTTGTAAGTAGAGTAGTCTTGTAACTAGTGTAGTCTTGTAACTAGTGTAGTCTTGTAACTAGTGTAGTCTTGTAACTAGTGTAGTCTTGTAACTAGTGTAGTCTTGTAACTAGTGTAGTCTTGTAAGTAGTGTAGTCTTGTAAGTAGTGTAGTCTTGTAAGTAGAGTAGTCTTGTAACTAGTGTAGTCTTGTAACTAGTGTAGTCTTGTAACTAGTGTAGTCTTGTAACTAGTGTAGTCTTGTAAGTAGTCTTGTAACTAGTGTAGTCTTGTAAGTAGAGTAGTCTTGTAACTAGCGTAGTGTTGTAACTAGTGTAGTCTTGTAACTAGTGTAGTCTTGTAACTAGTGTAGTCTTGTAAATTTAGTGTAGTCTTGTAACTAGTGTAGTCTTGTAACTAGTGTAGTCTTGTAACTAGTGTAGTCTTGTAACTAGTGTAGTCTTGTAACTAGCGTAGTGTTGTAACTAGTGTAGTCTTGTAACTAGCGTAGTGTTGTAACTAGCGTAGTGTTGTAACTAGCGTAGTGTTGTAACTAGCGTAGTGTTGTAACTAGTGTAGTCTTGTAAGTAGAGTAGTCTTGTAACTAGTGTAGTCTTGTAACTAGCGTAGTGTTGTAACTAGCGTAGTGTTGTAACTAGCGTAGTGTTGTAACTAGCGTAGTGTTGTAACTAGCGTAGTGTTTGTAACTAGTGTAGTCTTGAAAGTAGAGTAGTCTTTGTAAACTAGCGTAGTGTTGTAACTAGCGTAGTGTTGTAACTAGCGTAGTGTTTGTAACTAGGGGTAGTGTTGTAACTAGCGTAGTGTTGTAACTAGTGTAGTCTTGTAAGTAGAGTAGTCTTGTAACTAGCGTAGTGTTGTAACTAGCGTTGTGTTGTAACTAGCGTAGTGTTGTAACTAGCGTAGTGTTGTAACTAGTGTAGTGTTGTAACTAGTGTAGTCTTGTAAGTAGAGTAGTCTTGTAACTAGCGTAGTGTTGTAACTAGCGTAGTGTTGTAACTAGCGTAGTGTTGTAACTAGCGTAGTGTTGTAACTAGTGTAGTCTTGTAAGTAGAGTAGTCTTGTAACTAGTGTAGTCTTGTAAGTAGAGTAGTCTTGTAACTAGCGTAGTGTTGTAACTAGCGTAGTGTTGTAACTAGCGTAGTGTTGTAACTAGCGTAGTGTTGTAACTAGCGTAGTGTTGTAACTAGCGTAGTCTTGTAACTAGTGTAGTCTTGTAAGTAGTGTAGTCTTGTAACTAGTGTAGTCTTGTAACTAGTGTAGTCTTGTAACTAGTGTAGTCTTGTAACTAGTGTAGTCTTGTAAGTAGTGTAGTCTTGTAACTAGTGTAGTCTTGTAACTAGTGTAGTCTTGTAAGTAGTGTAGTCTTGTAACTAGTGTAGTCTTGTAACTAGTGAGTTTTGTAACTAGTGTAGTCTTGTAACTAGTGTAGTCTTGTAACTAGTGTAGTCTTGTAACTAGTGTAGTCTTGTAACTAGTGTAGTCTTGTAAGTAGTGTAGTCTTGTAACTAGTGTAGTCTTGTAAGTAGTGTAGTCTTGTAACTAGTGTAGTCTTGTAACTAGTGTAGTCTTGTAACTAGTGTAGTCCTGTAACTAGTGTAGTCTTGTAACTAGTGTAGTCTTGTAAGTAGTGTAGTCTTGTAAGTAGTGTAGTCTTGTAACTAGTGTAGTCTTGTAAGTAGTGTAGTCCTGTAACTAGTGTAGTCTTGTAACTAGTGTAGTCTTGTAACTAGTGTAGTCTTGTAATTAGTGTTTACCTGGAGTTTACCTGGAGAGAGTTTCGGGGGTCAACGCCCCCGCGGCCCGGTCTGTGACCAGGCCTCCTGGTGGATCAGCGCCTGATCAACCAGGCTGTTGCTGCTGGCTGCACGCAAACCAACGTACGAGCCACAGCCCGGCTGATCAGGAACTGACTTTAGGTGCTTGTCCAGTGCCAGCTTGAAGACTGCCAGGGGTCTGTTGGTAATCCCCCTTATGTGTGCTGGGAGGCAGTTGAACAGTCTCGGCCCCCTGACACTTATTGTATGGTCTCTTAACGTGCTAGTGACACCCCTGCTTTTCATTGGGGGGATGGTGCATCGTCTGCAATCTTTTGCTTTCGTAGTGAGTGATTTTCGTGTGCAAGTTCGGTACTAGTCCCTCTAGGATTTCCAGGTGTATATAATCATGTATCTCTCCCTCCTGCGTTCCAGGGAATACAGGTTTAGAAACCTCAAGCGCTCCCAGTAATTGAGGTGTTTTATCTCCGTTATGCGCGCCGTGAAAGTTCTTGTACATTTTCTAGGTCGGCAATTTCACCTCCCTTGAAAGGTGCTGTTAGTGTGCAGCAATATTCCAGCCTAGATAGAACAAGTGACCTGAAGAGTGTCATCATGGGCTTGGCCTCCCTAGTTTTGAAGGTTCTCATTATCCATCCTGTCATTTTTCTAGCAGATGCGATTGATACAATGTTATGGTCCTTGAAGGTGAGATCCTCCGACATAATCACTCCCAGGTCTTTGACGTTGGTGTTTCGCTCTATTTTGTGGCCAGAATTTGTTTTGTTACTCTGATGAAGATTTAATTTCCTCATGTTTACCATATCTGAGTAATTGAAA